AAGGAAGGAAGGAAGGAAGGAAGGAAGGAAGGAAGGAAGGAAGGAAGACACTTTCCCTGAAGGTCCATACTGCTTTCAAAGACCACCCCAGGGCCAAATCTACTTCCTAGAGCAAAAGAAGCCACTGCTCTTTACTCCCAGGCACAGCCTAGAGAAAAACCGTTCCAAGTGTCCATGTAGAGCACACCCTGGCATTTTCACATACAATAAACCAATTCTTTACATACACAGTCTAGCAGTCTTACTCAACTGGGATCTACCAGAGCATTACCACCTACACCTGTGGCATCCTCTGCATAGAATGATTTATGTTCTAAATTCACAGTAGTGCGTCAACCTTGGGAAAATGGAGAAAAACCATCACTTAATTCTTTTTCTGTGAGGTTTAACTGTAGAATCCTGACTGACAAAAAGGCTAACCAACTAAGTAAGAATAACTTTCATTTATGAAAACCCCAGCCTGAAGTAAATATCCCAACCAAAAACTGAGATTTAGCTCTTTAACAGTGGAGTCACGAATGAGAGTTAGTGCTTTTCACGCCTGAGACAATACTGTGGGTCTGAAAGTGATCACACTCCCTTAGAGATCTCAAAAAGATTACTTCACACACAAGCTTTCAGAGTCAGAAATGGGAGGTACCTCAGCAGCATTTGATTCTTCTTTAAAGAACAAAGGATTTGCAAGATTAATATAAGCTATAAGTATATAAGTTGTTATCTGTGGGCTGTAGAGATTGCTCAGAAGTTAGGAGTACTGGTTGCTCTCCCAGAGCACCCAGTTCAATTCCCAACATCCACATGGCCACTCACAACCACCCCTAATTCCAGTTCCAGGAGATCTGGACCCTGTTTCTGCACTACACAGGCACCAAGGCACACATATGATAGGCATACATTCAAGCAAACACTCAAAACGCACAAAATAAAATAAATCTTTTTTTTGTTAATTTTTTTAGTTTTTATTTGTAAGCAAAATGACAAAAAGAAAAAAAATCACTGTCCAAAAAGTACAGATCAATAGAGAACACAGGGACTCTAGTAAAAACACACTTTCATCTCTGTATAAAAGCAGCAAACTGCTTTACAATCCAATACACTCCATCTTGGGGCTGGAGACACAAAACAAGCTGACAGGTAAGACTCATGTAAACTTCCACCTCTCAAAGGCTGGGGCACCCTCTTCCTCACCAAGCTGGACCTGTCCTCTTTGTCTGGGAAGGTTTAAGCCCTTATCAGGAAGCTGTTTCTCTAGGAAACGGTCTTCTGAGGAGTGAAAATATTCTTTACATATTAAGAATGACTCCAACTTTGAAGTTACTAGTAAACATTAAGCTTCCTTAAATTAGAATTCTAAATGGGGGGGGGGGGGGGTGGACTTCCAATTTTGTCCAATTACGTAGCCAAATTATTACATGCTACAAAAATGCACTTTAGTCCTTTTTAGAGGAAAAAATACATAATCAAAATATCCTTATCGCAATGCTTCTATGGGTTCCAACCCCTCTCCTCCCCACAGTTCCAGGAATGACTCTACAACAAAACAAGCCACCTAGTCTTTTGTCTCTGGAGAAGAATGGTTACAGCTTGAAAAGAAGACTTAACTGCTTTCTGAATAAAGCAAAGTATAAATAACTATGAGAAGAAGGAAAGCAGGCAAAGGTCCTAAAAGGGATGGACCAAACTAAAGTATGAGAACAGGCAAGTGGAACATTTCAGAAGAACCATGCTCACATCCTCCAAGGGAGATAAAATGAATACTACCAACAGTGACAAAGAGTTTAATATTTGTGTTAGTGAATGAGGACAACGTAAGTGTTCACCTGTAAATCTGTATGTGCCCCTGAAAGATACATGCTGCTTTGTTCCTATTTGGTAGGAAAAACAACCATGTTGTGGTTTAAATGAAAATGGCCCTTACAGGTTAGGGACCCCGGGTGGGGGGAAGCCCCAAGTTAAGTCCTGAGAGAATGTGTACTCTGAAATGTACAGGACCATTTTGAGGACTCTAAGGCCATGGGAAACTGACAAAAATCATTACACCCACCCAGACCAGGCTCAAGAGGGATGGCAATTCTTTCTTCAGAATCTAAGTTTAAAAAACTGACCAGAGTGGGCAAGATTCTGTGATGTTTATAGCCTAACTACCAAGACTAGCTAGCCCCTTCCCTCGTTCTGTACATAATGAAAAAAACTGAGGTTCCAAGTAGATGGAAGCAACTCAAGGTAATGTTCAAGAACCTCACCTGAACCCAGCTTCTCTGTATGTCTGTCTTTTCCTCATTCCCTCACTGTTCCTAGCCGGGGTTCCAGGCCCCAAGTCTTGAATGACAAGGTACATAGGCTCAACTATTTGCAATGTTTGGTCCCATTTGGTGGAACTGTTTGGGAAGAATTAGGAGGTGTGGACTTGTTGGGAAAGGGGCAGGATTCGAGGTTTCTGATGATTCACACCATTCCCAGTATGTCTGTGTTGTTCTCTCTGCCACCTACTTGTGGATTAAGACTTGAGTTCTCAGCTGTTCCTGCCACCATACCTTTGCTTTTGCTTTGTGATTATAAACTCAAACCCTCTGAAACTATAAGCACAACACTTTTTTTATAAGTTGTTTTGGCCAAGGCATTTTGTCACAGCAACAAAAAAAAATAAGTAATACAAACCCCAAACAAAAGTGTTTAAAAGTAATAAAAGGAGCTGAGGTATGGCTGCCAACTTCTGCACACTGAGAGTCAGAGAGAGAGAGAGAGAGACAGACAGACAGACACACACACACACACACACACAGAGAGAGAGAGAGAGAAACTGACCTATGGACTAGACCATCAAGATAATGAAGAGGCCTTGACCTTGATTGTTATCTAGACCAAAATAGAAAGGCAGGTAGACCAGATGTCCTATGAGCTTTGTCTTTCTCCTTAGAAAGCCATACCCTAGTGGTCCTGTTCTTCTAAAGTCCAAGCAGAACCTGGCAATACAATCTTCCTGGGTACTGCCTGGGACTAAAAACTCAAAACAGCTAGGAGTAGCCCCAACACTGTTTTCAAAAGCTCAGGTCATTCTAGACAGATGCTTCTATCAATCAGTAACAGTCCCAGCCCCTGGGGTTATTGTGACAATTCTATATGAACCTAATGATCAGTGGAAAAGGATACAAAGTTTACAGAGGGGAACTAGAGAGATGGCTCAGTGGCTAAGAGCACTCACTACTCTTCTGAAGGTCCTGAATTCCATTCCCAGTACCCATATGGCAGCTCACAGCTGTCTGATGCTGTTTTCTGGTGTGCAGATGTACATGCAGACAAAGTATCCAAAGAAAAAGAGAAGGGGAGGGGAGGGGAGGGGAGAGGAGGAAAGGGAAGGGGAGGAAAGGGGAGGGGAGAGGGGGAGGGGGAGAGGGGAGAAGAGGAGAGGGGATGGGAGAAGAGAGGAGAGAAGAGAAGAAGAGAGAAGAAGGAAGGAAGAGAGAAAGAGAAAGAAAAAAGAAAAGAAAAAGAGAGAAGGAAGAAAGAAAGGAAAAAGAAAGAAAAAGAGAAAGCGAGAAAGAGAAAGAACAAAGAAAGAAAAAGAAGAGAAAGAGAAAGAAAGAAAGAAAGAAAGAAAGAAAGAAAGAAAGAAAGAAAGAAAGAAAGGAAGGAAGGAAGGAAGGAAGGAAGGAAGGAAGGAAGGAAGGAAGGAAGGAAGAAAAAAAGAAAGAACAAACCTCGAAGTATGCAGTGCAGAGGGGTGGGGGTAGATGCTGTCAGCCAGCAATAGTTTGAAGAAGGTCTTCAGTGGCAGATTCTTGACACTCAGTTAATGATCTCTATTAGCTAGCCACTGAACACTCAGAACAGAGAAAACCCAAAAGGATGACTACAAGGACATTACAAGTGCAAAATAAAACCAATTTGGCCCAGATTTAGCACTGGCTACCTGAGGGGCACAGTCTAGTAGAGAAGAGCCAATATCTATGCCAAACATGCCCATGCCACCACCTTAGTACAGCCAAAATGACAGGACACGAAGGAGTAGCTTTAGGCCATATACTCCCAAAGAAAACTACTAAAAATGAACAAATATTTTTAAATATTTCACTCCAACACTTATAACCCAGCAGTGGCTGTTTGGCACCAGCCTCCCATATACCACATACCCTCCAACAGTCACTATGGAGATCAGGGAAACAGGAAAAAAATTACCCACAGGCCAAAACCAAAAATTACCCAATGTTTCGGGAATGTTCCTTCTCTCTCTAGTTACATCTGAAAGCCTAATAATTGTTCCTTCTTTCCTTTCAGTTTTAAAACGCAGTCGTCCAGATTCTTCATCATCATCATCTTCTTCATCTGATTCTTCTTTTATGTCTTTCTGGAGTTCCAGGGTTTCCATTCCTCCCTACAGGCAGACAGAAGCAAACAGGGAGAAGTAAGTTCATCGTCACTTGAAATATAAGTATACTTGAAAGATCTTGGTAAAAGGCTATGTGAAACATGAAGCCAACTCCGTGATTGGGGGGAGGGGTAAATAAAAAGAAACTTTCTTTTGGAAAACCTTCAAACTCCTGTCTGTAGTTGACTACCTGCTGCTACTCACATTTGTTGGAGCACAGACATCAGTTAAACATCCTTGCTGCCTTATATTTAATTCAGACCACAGCAAAGTGACACACAAATTAAGTTGTATATGACTAATATTTTACATCTTATAGTAAATCCATACTACTGAAATAACACTGGAGTTAACAGTGCAGAACTCACCTGGTGGCTGCAATGGCTACTTCAACCTTGTAAGCTTTACAGTTCAGTCCCTAACCACATATTTTGAATTTCTGTCAGGAGAGCTGTCCCTCTCGGCTTGGATTTTGTGGCTGCTTGCTACTGCTCAAGTCTTCACAATCCTTCTTCATCACTAACCCTCTCCCTTTCCTACTTGCTTCACTGTTGCTGTCTAGTTTTAACTCACATCTACTTAGTGCTGAGTCCAGTAAAAGACAAAACATTCTTTCTGCCACTTGTTTTAGCAGAGCCCCTTACCAAACTCCCTCCAGTGCTAACCCAAACTAAAGCAGTTTTTGTACAGCTCTTCTTTCTGAGCTTCTCTGGCCCTACCATCTCCCTCTTAGGTCAATCTCAGTAGCCACTGGCAGATAAAGAAAGGCTGAATATACTTATACTGAATATAAGGCTCATTTAAACACTTTCTACCAGTGTAATGAGTAAAAACGCAGTTTGCCTCTTCATTATCACTACTCTTAAAAGGAACAAAGACACACTGTTAGAAAATATATGGGCAATCACTGTACACTTTCTTTACCAAACATTCTCAATGCAAAGAGCTATATAATCAGACTCTATAACAAGTTGTACAAACACGAACACAGCTCCAAGAAATCAAATGCTGAAATGAACATGGAGACTGACATTTCACTTTCAATCTAATGACTATGGCTTTTCAGTTCTGTATGCTGGATAATTTTGTAGCGCCAGAATTTTCACATTCTTGCAAATGTAGCACTATCTTTTCTATATTATTGTGTACATATCTGAAATCAGAGTAAGTGGCATCTACAATAAGTCCTCAATGCACCATTGCCACAATGTCTCTCTGTACCTTCATAAATACCCTAGTGACTGGAAATCCTGTTCAGAAACAGATTCTGACCTGGAAAGTCTAGAGTGGAACCTTAGAGTCCACACTCCTCACAAGCTCCCAGGAGGCCAACTTGTATCTACAGACTATGCTTGCTAATAATATGGCCAGAGGGAAAAAATCATGTTCACCAAAGCAAAAACTTTATTGCAGCAGTTATAATAATTATATAATTACTTTGATAGATACAAAAAAGGGGATCACTAAAATTTGGTGTTCATTAGAAAATCACTGTCAGCAAACTAAAACCAAAAAAAAAAAATCTTCAATCAGAGAGCAAAACTTACTGACAAGCAATAAAGTGCCTTCTTCCTAGCACGAAAAATAAGGCAAGAAAGTTGGCTTTGGAGCTAGTTTCTGTTGTACCTACACTGAAAGTCAGTAAGGCAAAGGAAGTAAAAAGGATTCTGATTACAGAAGAAGGAGGAAGATGCTTTCATTAAATGTTAAGCTGGGGGAGAGGGAGAGCTGGAGAGATGGCTCAATGGTTGTTAAGACTACAAACTGCTCTAGCAAAGGATCCAAACTGAGTTTTGAGCACCCTGATTTACAACACCAGTAACTCCAGCACTGGCAGATCCAACACCCTTTTCTGGTATGCATGGGAACCTGCACTTGTGTATACAACCAAACAGACAGACAGACAGATAGACAGATCCACAGAAAATATAAAAATAAAATCTTTAAAAATTAAAATAAGAAACTTGTCCATTTCAATCTAGATACATGGTCATCTCCATCAAAACACTAGCCAGATTTCAAGTAGATATGGACAAATCCATTACAGAAAAGAACCTTAGAAAAGAATAAAGTTGGTGGGTTTACATTACCTGGTTTCTTGTTCCATTATTGCAACTGTTGTGGTGCTGACATACAGACTTCATAAAAGCAAATTAACGGATTGAAGAAAACGAGAGTAAATAAAGTCAGCTAACAACATTAAAAACTACTTTGAATTGATGGGAAGGAAAGCCTACACAGCAAACCAATGAAACAGCTGGAAAAGCATTTTTATTTAAAGACAATGGATTGCTCTCATATCTCAAATACAACTAATAATAATGATACCAAGTTTCCAAAAGAAAAGAGGGAATTAATAATGGGGTAGTCAAAATTTTCTTAGGTCACAAAATCATCTGGTCATCATCCAGATTATTTTTTACTTATAAAAATTAAATTTGAGATGGGCTGGAGAAGTGGCTCAGAGGTTAAAAGCACTGACTACTCTTCCAGAGGTCCTGAGTTCAATTCCCAGCAACCACATGGTGGCTCACAACCATCTACAGGTGAAACCTGGTGCCCTCTTCTGGCGTGCAGGCAGAACACTGTGTATGTAATAAGTCTTAAAAAAGCTGGACAGTTTAACAGAGAACCCAAGGGGTCTGCTGCCCTCTCTTCTGGCCCTCAAAGGCACTACATGTGCCTACATGTGGCATACCAGCATGTATGTAAGAAAAACTCCTAAATACTTTAAAATTTTTTAACAATAAAATTGTTTACAGTCATACCACCCTGAATGAGTTATCTCATGTAAAAAACTTAAATTTAAAAACATGTAATTCAGAGCCTCAGGAAAAAAATTTCACAAACCATGTATCTGCCAATGGACTTGATATTTAAAATACACAGGACACTTATCTAGCAACCTCTCCCTAGATTACAGAAACTAAGAATATGTACATAAACTATACAAGAACAAAATACACTTGTCTATATTGAATACAAATATACAAACAACAATCTCAATGAAGACCTTATATACTCTGTAGCTTATATAAACAAAAGACAAGCCACTTTAAAGAGAAAGCGACTAAAACCAAACCCATAGGTTATATAAAGTCCAAAAGAATATATTAACAGTGCTTAGTATCATTAGCCATCAGAGTAATGTAAACAAAACCCACAATGATGAAGCCATTGAAAGGCTGAAGAAAGAAACTGACACCAAATGAAGAGGAACGATAAGGATTCTCAACTAGACAAAGGGTATAAAATGACACAACCATTTTGGAAAACCATTTGTTAATTACCTTAAGTCTACACCATGCTAATCTAGCTCAGTAAGTCTACCAATACCTATCAACAAAACAAAGAGGGTGAACATTCATCCCAAACCAAATACCTAACAAGGTATATAAATAAACAAAATTTAACTAGTCTACATGTAAGTACTTGGATTAATTCAAAACTATGTTGGGCAAAAAGCAGCTAAACATGAGATTATGGGTGTAGCTCTGTGGCACAGCCCTTGTTTAACATACCTGAGATTCTAGGTTCAATCCCTAACACCACAAAAATAAACCAAGGGGAAAGTGATCAAGTAGGGTGAAAGAAACGGTAGTGTTAGCTCCTGCAAGGCTAGGACAAGAAAGAAAAGAGAAAGGAAAAAAAAAAAAAAAAGCTAGTGTTTCCTAGCTTATGCCATTTATTTTGCAGTGGGTGTTAATATCAGGGTTTTAAAAGACTATTCCTTTCTTTTCTCTGTGAGTGCTGAGCATAAAAGGCTTGGGTGCCTCTCCTGTGGAGCCTGTATGGTGACAATAGAATTCTGACACTGCCAACACAAACATGTTCTAAGGCTTGACCTCATCTTAGATTATATCATCTTTTTAAACACTCATTAAAGGAGTAGTGTTGAGTCAAAAGACAACATGCGTCTGGGCAGCTGAGCCTGTCATGGACAGTAGAGTGTTGATTATACTAAAAGCTGGCAAAGCGGCTAACCACACTTCTCACATCTCACAAAAACTAGGGCTTGGTGCAACTAGGCTGGGTCAGAAGTCACCTCCCTAGCAGAAGCACTTCCCGGAGGCCTTGCTTACCCAGGACTCTGTGATCATGCCCAGAGGGAGTAGTGCTTAAGGAGGAATCCTTGCATGTGGGACTCTATTCTGACCTCAACAGACCTGCCCTGGAAGAAGATCCTTTCTTTGAAGGTCGTCGGTACACAAGCATACCTGGACAGAGATTCTACAACAAAGAGCAAGCGTTGACATGCTCCCAAAATACACAGAACCCAGAGAAATGGTGCTGTGACATTTCTAGTATAGGTCCCCCAACAAAGTAAGACTACATCTTCCAGTGGTCTAAGTTGTCAATAATAACATAGGTTTTAATTCTTACCTTATGAATATATTTTCATATGCTTATAGCTCATTTGCTTATCCTGTGAAGACAGATGACATATACACAGAATTCTGTTTCCCTTCCAACTTTTGACCACCCCAAAACCTCCTTGGTAGCCTTGAAACTGCTCTGCTCCCTGCTTTCAGTTCTTCCTGATTTCTTTCTCAAGTGCCCTTGCAGAACTGACCAAGCTGGGTGAGCAGTATGCTAGGCAGAATGATACTGAATGTTTCAGGCAACCATACTGCATGTTCTGGGTCTCCCTCAACTTCGCCATGGTTCCCTGGATTAGGCACCTTCTACAATTGCACAAGAGGGGAAAAAAGTCTCTTACACTAGTCTTATTATTTTTTCTCTATGTTTTAATTTATTTCAAAGAGTTGAGCTAAAAAAGTACAAAAAGAAAAGTCAACTTCGGCTTAAGAAAAAGGTTCCTGTTTTACACCCAGCACTCTCACAGAGAAAAGAATAGTCTTTTAAAGCCCTGATATTGACACCCACTGCAAATAAATGGCATAAGCCAGAAAAGACTAGCTTTTGTGGGTCTTTTCTCTGACAGCAGAAAAGAACACTATGAAAATTATTGCAGGAGAAAGAAAGAAAGAAAGAAAGAAAGAAAGAAAGAAAGAAAGAAAGAAAGAAAGAAAGATC